TCACGAAATTCATAGACATGAATGTCCCATGGATCAAATTTACTATGGAATAAAAAGATCTAACATTTATTCATCTAATATATTTAAAAATGCCAAAAAATGTTAATTATTAAAAACCTACTTAAAATGAGGAATTGGAATATAAAATGTAACTTAAAAGATAAATATATCAATATATTTCACAGTTTTGACACATGTATAAATATAGAGTGATGTGATTATGTGTATTTTCAGGGATCAACAGTCGGTCAGATTATTTTTGCTTCACAGGCTAAAATGTTTGCGAACATCAGATTTAGAGACTGACATGAGTTGGGATAAAATTGTACTTGGTGCTTTTAAATGGTTTGAGATGCTTAAAAATAAAATTGAGATACCAGAGGGTCCTCAGCTTTATTATCTGTAGATTGTTACAGGATCAACTGTAAAGGAACAGCTGTAGAATAGATTTAATTATTCTTCCTTTTTTCTTTCTGTTCCCATACACGAACAAAGGAAAATGACATCAGCTGGAGCTACCTGATGACCATGGAGAAGGAGGACTTAAAGAAGGTCATTGATCACTGTAACATTTGTATTTCAGCTTGAGGGTTATCAACAATGCTATATACACATGTTTAAACCTTCAATAATTAGTTATTTATTTTAAAATCGTTATCTATATGAGCTGTCTTCTTTTCCCATTTGTCAGATTGGTATCACAGACCCAGAAGATCAACAGAAAGTGTTGAGTGCTGTGCAGCAGATGCAGTTGAACAAAGTAGACCTTGACAAGATCCAGCTGGTGATTGAAGAGAATGGGTAGGATCTTTGGTCTTAATATCTCACCGGCCTGTTGGAATCAAGAAGAATTTTTAGGGGATCTAAATTGAAAACACATTTGCAAAACCTCAAAAACTGAAGCAGGCTTAAAGGTATTAATTTAGCAGCTTAAGAACCAAGGGTCTTTAGTCCTACCTACTATGAGAAATTTGTCTTGGATATTTATAAGAACAAAACACCACCAGTATATTTCCAATATAGAAAACCTTTATAATATAGGACCAATTCTGTTGGCTGTGTTTTGTGGAAAATTATGTAAGTCTATAATTTCCAGACTAATGACAAGAAAAACGTAAAAAATAAATAAATAAATAATTCTTGCTGGTTTTTCTCTTGTTGAACATTGTTTTTTTTTTCCATAAAAAAGTCAGCTAAAACATCAAATATAAAAGGAAAAAATGAGCTGTTCTCTTTTTTTTTTGCCAAATTACCTGAGGGTTGTTATGGAAACCCCAAAGCACCAACTGTGGCTCCTGAGCCCCAGGTTGTGGACCCCTGCCTAACACCCCCTTGTACATCCATCTTGGCCCCATCTTTAAAATTCACCCATCCGTCATGCCCCACTGGAACCTATCCATCTCCCTCATGAGTATTTCCTTGTCTCGGCACTGCACCTCTCTTCCCATCGCCCTAGTCCAGCACTGATCCTGCTTCTGACTGTTTCAGCAGCGCACTGATGATTTGTGAGGTGAGGGCTGATGAGAAGCTGAAATAAGTTAGGAAGTAAAAGCTCTGTTAAAGCCGTTCAGGCTGAATCTAGAGAAAGTCTTTCTCTTTTCAGAGCTCCCACTATTGATCAGCACAGGATCCTCTGTTTCTGCCGTAGTCCGTGATCAGATCAGATCTTCGTTTCTTCTCCGTTACCACATCCAGTTCGCTGAAGGGAAAAAGTTTATATTATTCCTATGCTAATTAGAAAATGTATTGCTTTTAAAGAGCTATGTTTTTATAGTTTCTATTTTTATTTAATTTTTTAACATGGCCTTCACAAAGTTTTGATTGGTCTGTTCTTTGTCATCTCGCCCCTAGCTCCTGACGAGAGCTCTTCTTTCCTCTGGCCCAGCAGCAAACTGAAGCTTGGGTGGCAGTGATTTTCGATGCCCAGACCAGCGTTTATCTTTGGAAACACAGAACTGCTGCTTATGGAGCTCAAGCACTACTTGTGTAGATCACCTTCTCTCTGTGGCCCTTAGATAAACTAACAGCAGTTAAAAAGGGAGGCGTGGGTGTTGCAAAGGCTGGTTGACACTGTTTACTGGATTTCCTGACAAAGTAGTAGGAGGGCCAGGATGGCTGCCTGCTCTGTGCCCTTAGCCATGGAAATGTACCATTAAGATAAGAACTATCAATATCCCACAGTTCTAGGTGATGGGAAGACATTCTGAGGTTGATGAATACAAATAACCAATCATTTAAACTGGGTTTCTTTGCGGAGGTGTGACAAAAAAAGGTTTATTTACAGAGAGGGATAAAAAAGGTTTAGCCACCTGCTCGGGTTTCTCTAGAGTTTGGTAGAAATGACTCCAGAAAATGTCTTGGAACACGTGACCTCTAAGCTTTGTCCAAACTATTAATCTGTCTGCGCTGTCTTAGCAGAGTATCTATATCAGGCTATGGCTTGTTTTGTTATGCAGACATATTTAAAGACATCACTTAAAAAAGAAAACTACTAAACTCTTGGGTTTAGTCGTTGTTTTTAGTATATTTTGTACCCCACAAGAGTTTAGTATCTTTAAATGATTGTGCGTCTTCCCAGGAAAGCCCAAAAATAATCTGACCAAACGCTGTATTTTATATTCTAGTTACTGGTACCGTTTAAAGTTTTTGATTTTTCATTAATACTGCCTCCAGATTTCAGCAGCGCCAACCTGTTGCAAAATATAAAAAGCAATTTTATTATTCCTGTTGCTTGTCTAAAGCTGATCTTATCACACATTGAAATACAGCTAGACAGAATGTTATTAATGGAGAACATTAATACTCTGGCTACATGGATTTGGTAGGAACCAAAAAGTAAAAAAAATACTTATAATGCTTGAAGATGTTATGTTTTGTTGAATAATCTGTTTGATGTTAAGAATGCTAGATCTTAAAGGAAAATTTAGAAAACACTAGCAATTATGGGGGAAAATAACTTGATAAACTATTCTAAGTTGGAGACATCTTTTTATTTTAAGCTAAGCCTTCTTGTTGAATTTCTCTTTATTTTCCAGGAATGAGGAGTTGCTGAACTTCCTCCTAAGTGTGAGTCATCAGTGCAGCTACCTGACGGAGATACTTCAGGATACCAGCAGCCGTTTCCCTCGTCAGACTTCTCAGGTGCACTTAACTTGTTCAGGTCACATATTGGGGCTGTTAAGGTATCCACGTTTTTCTTGCCTTGGTTTTGATATTACAGTTCTTTATCACTTGTTTTTCATCTTCTCTGATAATAAACCAATAAATATTCATAGTGTTGTCTAGTTTCATGGACATTTCTGGTTTACTTCTACCAACAAGCAATTATGCTTCTTATATCGGGTTTAATAAGGTCAGCATTTATTAACATTGAATAACGATGGCTCTCATTTATTTCTCTTCAAAGAAGGTGGTTTATGAATTCCCCACCCTGCTATGATATTAAACTGAGAGGATAACAAGACAAAATGTATTAAAAGTAGAGCATTTTATGTCAATGGCAGTAGAGTGGAATTGCAGGATAAGCTGTAAAGCTCTAATGCTTGTAAACACGTGTTGTTTGCTGATACACAGTTGCTTTGGTGTACCTGAGTGCAAATGTTCAACCACGCCTAAATCAGTGTCTAAATGATTCCTGCTATAATGCTGGGGTGGCAGTCTTAGAGGATGCAGAGGAGACTGTGGGCTGGATCTGTACAGCCAGACTCAGCCAAGCATTTGCCATCCTATTCCTACAGATTTTTAAGTCAAAATTTTTAAAAATGCTTGCGCTGTTTTCCCTATCATTTTAGGAGAGACACGCACACTTAAGTACACAGAGAAGGACTCATAAATACCAGTGGTTACATGATTCAGAAAAAACAGTTTGTGTCTAAACCTTTGTAATGGCTGGTATTGATTCACATTGCTAGAATAGATTCTGCTCTTTCTCATATTGAATTGCTGCTGTTAAAAAATTTTTCAGCTGTAGTTATTTAACATATTAAAACTAGGATTATGCTAACATCTAACAGCAAATTAATAAAGTTAATTAATAGTGGCTGTAACTTGGACCAAACCCTCTTTTTTTTTTTTTTTTCTTTTTTTCCCATCTGGTTATATAAAAAAATTTTTTTTTGTAACTAATTAGAAAATGATTCTGATTTTTTTTAAACACTGCCTAACTTTGGTTCATCATCAGTTAAATAAATTAGTTGAAGGAATGAACAAACTAAAGAGGACAGTGATTAATTCACTCCAGTGCAGTAGGTGGCAGTGTTGAGCTGGAGATTGTGTGCACAACCAAGGACAGGACATATTGTTGGGCATCAGTTTAAAGAAAGGTTGTTGTGACTACAGACCAGACATGGGCAATGTGGAGTCAACAAGTCATCTTCATGTCATGTATTTAATCTACCCAGCCAATTAACCAGGTTAGTCCAATCTGCACAGCCTGATTCACAGTGAAGATTGGACTCACCTGCTTCAGTGGCTGGGTAGAACAAATATATGACATGGAGATGACTTGTTGACTCCACATTGCCCATGTCTGCTACAGACTAAAGAACAAAATGTCAAAAACATTTTTGTTCTTTTGAATTTCAACATTTGAATTAGAAAATTTGCAGTATCAGATGGTGCTTTTTGATTAAAGTGTAAATTATTAAAACAGATTATTTATTATTATTAAAAGGCCAAAGTACTGCAGAGGTTTCAGATCCACTGTGCAGAAGAACTATTTTAATAGAAACTGCATGCATAATGTTCTACATCAGCGTATGCATCATCAACACGTTGCCCCTCATGAAAGAATGGTATTTTTCAGACAAGACCTGGATCAACTCTGAATTAAAACTATTAAAGGAAGAGAGCCTTCAGGACAGGACAACATAAAGAACTGAGAGCTCTGAATCAATTAATTTATCTTTATAGTCAACTACAATTTGCATTGTAATTGAGATTTCAGTTCACATACAAACGGAAGAAGGCATGAAGGAAAGAAGAATCAGAGATGGAGGATGCAGCTACAGAAAGATGGACTGCTCCAAAAAAAACCTCAGTGATGTTTTAAAAATGTAAAATCAATCTCGGGTAACAAATAGGGCTGGAGAATTACATGCCTTTTAGGGGTGGAACGGTTCACAAAATCCACGGTTCAGTTCACGGTTTCGTGGTCACGGTTTTCAGTTCGGTATATGTTTATTGTTACACCGAAAAATAAAAAATATAATAAAAATTTATGAAATTAATGAAAAAATCAAAAAAAAAAAATAATGAATTGTAATTATTTTTAATGATCCATGGAAACCATGGATCATTTCCGCATGTTCTGCTGCTTTGAATTTAATCATCTCGTGCATGCCCTCTACGATCTCCAAGGAACTCAGAGCGGAGCGGACGGGAGCCACAGCGGAGGCTGTAGGCTTTGCTTTGTGCAGGCGGTCTGGAGCGGAGCGCTGACGGAGTATGTGGGATTTCGGGGTTAGCCTGACATTTTGGTCATGTTGCTGTTAGCATAAACAAAACTTGTTGCACATTGCTTGCATACTGTTGCACTTTTATCCACAACTTTCTTTCCGCCGTCATCGTAGGTCACTCTAAATGCAAAGCGCTCCCATACAGCAGACCTATAAAGTGCTGCTGGCGCGTCTTCCAACGCCTGTTCTTTCCTGTATTTGAACGGAACTACTTCCGGTTGATCGTAAAGCCGTATGTTCGGAAAAGAAGCTTGAGGCGGAGAAAAAGCTAGAGAATGGGGAAAATGCAAACAAAACCACAAAAGTGGCAGGAAAATGAGGAATTCGGGACATGGCTGCAGCCGGTCGACAGTAAAGATGGATTTTGTCATTTTTGTGTGTCATGGGTACTTGGTACTTGTTGATGGCATTAAAATTATTTCAAAGAGCATTAAAAAGCATTAAAGTAGAGTTGCTCATTCCTGTATAAACCCTGTTTATACTGTTCATGGCAGGAAATGCTGACTCACAGTTGTAAGTTGATCCAAACATGGTCAAGATCAAGGTAAGCAGTTTAAGGCACTATTTGTTGCTAGGAAGTAGCAGATTCACTTGATCCCGAATGTTCTCCAAGTGTAAGAACTGCTAGCAGATTAGTGAGCTGCAGTTTTAAACAGCATGCGGCCGCTGAAGGTTTGCCTCATCTTAATTAAATGGGAAAAAAAAAAATGTTACATAAACCTGATAAAAAATTAAGCAGTGAAATAAACTTGGCTTTGAAAATTCCGAAACTTCTCCGGTATATGGATTCTGGATCAGCAGCAGATGTTTTCCGAGGCCGTTTTTTGCTGGCCAGAAGGATAAATTCATACTCCTTCATCTACTCACTTTTAAACATTTGATTTTCTGCATCAACTTTTCTCATCTTCGAACATGCCATTTTTAGCCTACTTCCCTCAAGTTTGTTTCTGTAATAAAAAAAAAATCAGATTGCCTCCTCCAATTAAAGGCCATAAACAGTTACCGTAAAGATTTGCTTACCTGCACTCACCGTTTTCCAGACTTTTAAAGAAACATTGCCCTGTTGTTATGTACTTTAGGGTATTTATTTGGCTCTGAGTACCGGTCCTGACTGAAAAGTCACTGGGTCTGGATCTGGACTAAGGTCCATTTGGTGATCCCTGATCTGATCTACACGCTTGTGCTTAGTGCAAAGGACAAACAAACTGAAATTGCAATTTGGTTGAGAAAATTGCAGTATTGATTTTTGGCATAATCGTTCACCCCCAGGCAAAAAAACCAGCTCCCGGATTTAGGTGATTCGTTCTGTCTATGAAAGATATTAGGGTCTGAGTCGCATCAGCACAAGGTTCCTGAGATGCTGTGCAGCCCAGGACCTGCGTGGCATCATGGGATACATCATTAACATTACTCTGATGCTGAAGAGAGCCCCCCCTGTTGATGTATTATTGGGTTGTTGTGTTAACAAACGGTTAAACAGGTGAATCTAATAAAGTGGCCAGTGAACGTGTGTCATTGATTTTCTCATACTGTCTCTTGTCTCAAAGTCTCTGCATCAATGTTTGTGCATTTGTAACCTTTATCTTTTTTTGGTTGTCCAAGCAGCTGATCCTATCAATGGACCCCAAGAAGGAAGCCCAGTCTGTCTGTAGCCAGCTAGTGCTCCAGACAAAAGACCTGCAGAAGGAAGTCACCTGCCTCTACAGTCTGCTTTGCCAGGTCAGCATGCACGTCAACATGTTCATGAAAACCGCTTTAAACGAGAAAACTGTTTTTAATTTGAAAGAAAAAGAAAAAAAGAATCATGATTCCAAATGATCATGTCTTCACCAGGTTTTCTATATACATTTAATCACTATAGATAAACTATAGATAACATTTCTGTAATTTATCTAATGAAAACAATATGGAAAAGGTGAATCTTAAACCTAATGAATCTTGAGCGTTAGTTATTAAGTTTAATGGTTGTAAAAGAATGTGTGGCCCTCAGAACTTTAGTGATTTCATGGTGATAGTTTGGCACCCATGCAACAAGTCCAGTTGTAAATGTCCTCGCTGCAAAAAAAAAATCACCTGTCTCCCAGTTGCATCAATTTTGTTACAATGCAGCAAAGCCAGCAGCTCAGCCACAAAGCAGTAGCTCAGGTAAAGGTTACCTGTGGAGTAGCACAGGGATCAGTGCTAGGGCCAATTCTCTTTACTATATATATGATCCCAAATGATAGAATTATTAGACAGCATGGGACACATTTCCACTGTTATGCTGATATTTTAGCTATATTTCTCTATAAATGCAGATTAAACTAACCCATTACACAGACTACAGACATGTCTTGAAGACAAAATGAGTGACTTTAAACTTCCTGCTGTTAAATGCAGAAAAAACAGAAGTTTTTATTTAAACAGTGTTTGAAAAAGAAGCTGGTTAGTCTGTCTTATTTTCTGGGTGGGATTAAATTGGTCTTGGATAATATCCTGCACAACAGTGGGATTCTTCAGCACATCTTGAACCTTGCCTGACCCAGAATACAGTGCCAATGATGTGAAAGACCTCCTGCCTTGTTCCAGTACCTAAAAAAACACAGCCAAAAGTCCTCAGAGACTTTAGACCTGTTTCCCTGACTCGCCACATCACAACGGTCCTAGAGAGACTTCTGTTGGTTCACTTCAGCAAACAAGCAAGCAGCTATCAGCCTATCATGGTGGAGTTGGTGTTGAAGATGTCATCATCAACCTGCTTCAACCCACTGTCATTTAGACAAGGCAGAGGGCACTGTGAGGATAATGTTCATTGATTTCTCCTGTGCATTTAACACAATTCAGCTTGACTTAATTTGTCATAAACTCTAGGAAGACTGAAGTGGAGGCATCGGTAATTTGATCCAGGTCAACTGTATAATCAAGCAGTGAACAGCACAGGGGACAGTACTCAGCATTCTTTTTTTAATCTATATACCTCTGACCTTCAGTACAGGCGTCCTGTTTACTGAAGAGAATTCCCAGATAACTCTGATGAAACAAATGACTGCAAAGATGGACAAGAAGCTAGGTACAGGGAGCTAGTGTACCACTATGTGGCATGGTATGGAAACAATGGACCTCATTCAAAAACCGTTCTTATGAACAAAATCATTTTTAAGTCGTTTGTGCAAGTGATTTAGGATAAAATGTCACTTTCAACATTTATTTCCTACTTCTAATCTTCTCTCCGGTCTGAACAATGGATCTAGTAGAGTGCTCCAGACTTGACCTATGAGTCTTATTCAGTAAGTTAGTTGTTTTCCAAACCTAGTTTTTCACATTAGTTTTACTTGAAAACAGTTGTCCATTTTATCAGGCTACAACATAATTTATTACGCTACTCTCTAATTATTGATTAAATTTTGTTTACTGATGACTGAACTAACGGTTACTACACCTGCAGCTGGCATGTCCGTATTATGGGCACACTAGTTTAATTTATTATTTTGTCAAAAGAAAGAACAGTCAGAGATGTAGCTACTATTGAAACATCTGGAACAGAAAATGAAACAAA